AAACAGCTGGTCGCCCCAAGTCACCTGTCACAATAGCAGATCCAAGAGCAACAACAAAACAAATCGACCCAAGCAAACCGGTAAACAACCATTTTCTTCCTTTTCCAAATGTTTTTGGGTTCTGCTTGTCATTTTCAACCCATTGAACAATCCTCAAACCGGTATCTAAATCAAGAGGATACTTCCAAGGATCATTTTCATTGAAATCCGAGTTTGGATCGGCATGCGTCAACTCTCTTTTTATATCCAATTCTGGCTCCAACGGTCCCAAGCGCCCAGCACCTTCATGAAGTTCCGATTTAATTTTTTCAACTCCCTGATTATTGGTGACTAACCTTGCCAACTCTTTTTCATCCTCAGAGTCGCGTGAGCGAAATTGCTCCAAACTGTGACTTATCTTTTTTGCGAGGGGTTCATTATGGTGTCCGGTTGTCTGCTCGTAAGGAGTGATTTTATGGGAATCAATACTGGCGGTATCTGAACTGTCTGCCATCAAAAACGTAACGAACTAAGAATATGGGGTTATATGTGCTGGATAAATAAAAGCAGCGCTTGTTGTATGAAAAATGTGTAGTTTTACTTCCCAAGGTGAAAGTGATACGGAAACTATTGAAGAGTGAAGTTGGACAAACTGTGGAGGATGATTTTGGAGGGAATATCACGTCTTATTTATATTCTGTTAAATGACCATTCTTGTGTGATTTCTGTTTTTTTCCGCTTTCTTTTTTTTTAGCAGCCGGTTAGAAAATGATCTGCATTTACTTTATTGTTGTATACATGATTCCACCCATTCTACTCATTTAGTTTTATTTGGCGCCAATTGTTGCATTTGTGGGATAGTACTAACTTTTTGCAGTTTTGAGCCTTTTCTATATTTGTGCAACAATTGCTTTTTTGTATTTTTTATTTTTTCTTTTTCAGCCGTGGGGGTTACATTTGCCGATACCGGAAAGTAATACTCAGCTCAGTTAGCTTAAATAGCCTTCAGACAAAAATTGTTAACTACCCCAGCTTCCGAGAACCACGTATAATTTAACTAATGCTCCTGGGGAAATTCACACAAGAAGGTTTGTCTTGTTAACAAAAGGGAACGCAATGGAATGAGAATCGCATCGGCTGATTATATGTCGCACAAAAGTTCACAGTATACAAACCGTCCTCTTTGAGCCGTTTTTGTACTTCATTGTACCTGTATCGTCAAGAAAAAAAGTCAGAGCTAATTCATTCAAAAAAACGCTTCTCCTCTCTTTCTTGGTGTTAGGACCCTACATGGAGATCCCCATCCTGCCCCCAAGAATGAGCGGCTAACACCTCTAGACAGCGTTATTTGTGTAAACCTTTGCGTTATATCTAAAACAAACTAACCTTGTTTAAAAAACGTTTATTAGAATGCATGAGTAGGAGCCCTTGGCTAGAGCGCAAGATCTACTGATTAACTTTTCATTGCACCCTAAGAAGGGGTCCCAATCTATTCTTAATTAGTTTATTACTCTAAATCGTATGAAATGTATGATATATATATATATATATATAATAATGTGACCCGTATCACAACATCACCAACCCTAATGTCCATGGCTTTCCAAATCTGGCCTCTTTGCATCTACGTGTGGAGAATAAGCGTACTTGGAAAATGCTCTAATTCTTGCTCCATAAAAGAAGAACAAGTAAGGAATGAGACAGCAAGC